TGCGCCCCCGGAGTGAACGAACTGCTGCTGCGACGGCTGCGGCGATGGCGGCTTCAAGGATGGCTGCGACGGCCGCGGTGGCGGTGACGGCAGCTGCGACAGCGGTGGCGACGGTGGCTGCGGAGGCGGTTGAGGAGGAGACACATGAGGAGGGGCAAACGGCAAGGACTACGCCGCAGGACCACCAGAGTCAGCAGACTCCTCGATGGGGACAACCAACGTGAAGGGGGTGACGTGGGACACACCAGACGGTGCAGGATGTGGAGGTGGAGGGGCAGGGGCAGGGTCCACCGGGGAAGGGGGGACCAGGAAGAGGGGAGGAGTAACCGGGGGACCTCGGTGGGGAAGCGGTGGTAGAAGGAGACGGACTCGTCAAAGGTGACGTCGCGGGAGTGAAAGAACCAGTGAGACTGTGGGTGGTAGAAGTGCCAGTCGGACGAGTCTAGGGGGAAACCGAGGAAGACACAGGGGAGGGTGCGGGCAGTAAGCTTGTACGTGCCTAAGGCACGAACGTGAGCAAGGCAGCCCCAGACGTGGAACGCAGACGCGTCACCAGGAGACCTGGTCCAGAGGAAGGTTGGCGAAACCTGCGGCTGCTGGGGGTGCGACCACAAGTTAAGCTGGTGAGCGGCGTAGCGAACAGTGAACGGCCACAAAAAATGGGGTGCACCGGCATGGATCATGGAGGTACGAGCCACCTTCATGACCAAGCCGATGCATTGCTCAGCGACCCTTTTCTTCTGCGGGGAGTCCGGCAAGGTGAACGTCTGGGTGATGCCCTCCGCACGACAGAAACGACCAAGAACGCCGGAGGCAAACTCGCCGACACGGTCAGAGTGGAGACGCAAGACAGGGAGACCGCAGTGGACACAAGCAGAGACAAGCCACGGGATGAGGAGGAGTGAGGGGCACGGCGGAGCCGGCCCTCGACACAGGGCGTGCACGGTGGTGTTGGGGAGGAGGGCAACTCGGGGAACGACTCTGGGAGACCTAGGACTAGACCGTGCTTTGACATTTGACGCAGACGGGGGAGGGCAAGGTGACCTAGACGGTGGTGCCACAGTAGTGTCGGGTGAGTGAGCGACCGACATGAGCAGGCTGCAGCAACCTGGGTAGACTCAGACACCTGAGGGGACATCCCAACCGGGGGGGTCACGGTGTCCAGTGTGAACAGTCCAGACACGGGGTCCCGGGGGAACGTGATGAGGGGAGCACCAGTGGTGGCCTCGGTACAGACAGCGTACCGCTCGTGACCAGAGAACGTAGTGGTGACGACAAGGTCCTGGAGGCAGCCAACACCAACTAGTCTCCTGGAGAACGAGGGGATGTGCAGGCCTGTAAGGGAGCCCGAAGGAACCGCCGGACAGGGAAGGGTGGTGGAACTGCGGGCGACTACCGGGCCCGAGGAGGGGTCGGCAAGGGAAACTGCAGCAGGAGCAGGAAGCGGCATCAGCGTAGTGGATTCGCGAAAGAAACACCGAGAAGCGCTAGAGTCCAAGGTGAAGGAGAGCGCGGCAGTGACGTCCGAAGTCGGAGCAGCGACAGAAGAACCAAGGCAAAACAAAGCAGAGGATCCTACGCCTGACGCAGCAGAGGAGGCACGACTAGACACACCTACACTAGGCAACAAGGGGAAATAAGAAGCAACCACACTAGAGCCATCAGCATACATCACATGCAAGGCAGCAAGAATCTCATCCATGTCCATATAAAAAATATGAACACTATGGCGAAGCAAGCTGTGCCAGTCGAGGAGGTCGGGCGACGTGTCGAAGCGCTGACGAAACAAGTCGTCCAGGTGATGGAAACAGCGGGCGGAGGTGTGACTGATCTTACCGCAAATGAAACAACGACGAGGACCGGTCTGAAGCAGGTACTCGCAGCGCCCGTCACCTGAATCGCCACCCGACAGCCCACCACGCGCACGACCACCACGTCTAGCGCCACCACCAGCGCCAGGCCACCCGGGCGGGAGACCACCCGCCCGCCTCTGCTGCTGCGGCTGGTGCTGTTGCTGGTGCGAGGGCTGCTACTGCGGCTTGTGCGTGTCCGGCTGCGACACCTGCGGTTGCTGAGGCGGCTGCTCGTCTGCACCCATCAGGGTCCCCTCGTCAGTGTTACCACTCGGCAACCCGACTCCACCACCACCTCCACCTGCACCGCCACCCCCACCGCCGCGCCCAGCCTTGGGGCGACGGCCCTTCCAGGAACGGATCTGCGCTGCAGCTGCAGACTCAGCCACAGCAGAAGAACCGTCGGAGAAGGTGCACTGAGCGGGGGCACAACCCTGAAAGATAGGGACTGGCATTGTACCGCTGGTCTGGGCGATAGAGCGCTGACGGGTCTCTATGGCAGACAGGGTGTCGACAAAGTCAGTGAGGGTGAGGTTACCGGGGTGGATGCTAAGGAAGCGGTCGCGGGCAGTAGCAAGACGGTCAGGGAGGCGGGTGGCAAGCATGTAGAGGGTAGAGCAGAGGGGCGGTTGAAAGGCTCTAAGCTGGGTCTCAGTGCAGGCAGAGCGCTAGGTCGCGTCTATCGTGCGTAGGTGAGCGGCCAGGTCAGCGACAGTGGGGAAAGACGCAAGGTCAGGAAATGCATGGGCAGGACCATGTGACCTACAGAGGTAGCGGGCGTGGTGGAATAGCGCTTTACAGCAGCATCCAAGAACTCCTGCGCAGTCGTAACTGACCGAAAGCGAGGGCGCTCAGACAGGGGGAGGGCATGACTGATCGCAAGCTGCGCTACGGCGTCACGCGACAACCAGACTGAGCGGGCAAGGGCAGCAGCTGCAGCGGACTCACGGTCAGCGGACAAGGGGTCAGAGGGCAGGGCAGCAAGGGGGTCATGACAGGGAAGCGTACCGCTGAGGTGGACCGCCAGGGAGTGGCCATCCTGCCGCTGACCAGTGAGATGGTGGCGGAGGTCAACCAACCACATGTCAAACTCGAGCGGCTGACCCTCTGTGTCGAAGTGGAGCACGGAGTCCGCCATCAGGATCAATGCAGCAGCGGTGCAGTGCAGTGCGGAGCGGTGCAGAGCGGTGCAATGCGGTGCAGAGCGGTGCAGAGCGGTGCAGTGCGGTGCAGTACGGTACTGTGCGGTGCTGTGCGGTGCTATGCGGTACCGAGGGGTGAGGGGCAGTGCAGTACGGTGCGGTATGGCGCGCAGTTACACAATGGACGCCGGGGTCGGCGGCGGGCCGGCGGACGAGAAGGGACGGGCGCGGGGGCCGACTAGGAACGGGCGCAAGGGGGCCAGCTGGACCGGACGCTAAGACCGGTGAGGGACGGGCGTGAGGGCCGGCTTGGAACGGGCGCATGGGGCCGGCTAGAACGGGCGTGGGGGGCCAGCTAGAAACAGGCGCATGGGGCCGGCTAGAACGTGCGCGCGGGCCGGCTAGGAACGAGGGGCCGGCGGAACGGGCGCGAGGGGCCGGCGAGAACGGGCGCGACGGCTCAGGGGCCCGGCTAGGGCGGGCGCGACGGCTCAAGGGGCCGGCTAGAAACGGGTGCGACGGCGCGAGGGACCGGCTAGGACGGGCGCGACGGCTACGGGGGCCGGCTAGGATGGGCGCGACGGCGCGAGGGGCCGGCTAGGACGGGCGCGACGGCTCAGGGAGAAGGGGGCGGCTAGGGCGGACGCGAATGCTCAGGGGGTTGGCTAGGAACGGGTGCGAGGGACCGGCTAGGACGGGCGCGACGGCTCAGGGGGCTGGCTAGGAACAGGCGCGATGGCGCGAGGGGCCGGCTAGGACGGGCGCGACAACTCTGGGGGCCGGCTAGGAACGGGCACGAGGGGTGGCTAGGGCCTAGGGCGGAAGCGCGGGCGGGCTAGATGGACCTAACCTACTCATGATACCATGTTAGAATGAGAGAATGAACTAGAATGTGAGAGTACAAGGTAATATAACCTAGAAGCTGTACCCTCTAAGACACAAACCTATACAATCTATACAAACATGACAATATATGTTTGACAAATACTACTGAAATTTAATAATTCTATGTATATAGCGTAGACTCCGTGTCCTCTATACTTGCATCCGGTTATAAAACACACCTTAAAAAAAAAAAAAAAAAAAAAAAATCGGGACAGGATAAGACCCTAGTGTCTTTCTGGTAGGCTTTTACGGAACTTCAGGACAAAGGGAGCCGATGCCGGTTGCAAGCTTCAAGAGGTCTACCTAATCGTAGAAGGCGCTGACTTTGTTATGCGACATGCTTGCTACCTACAAGCTATTATCAGGAAGACTGACCGACGGCGAACACGAACGACGACATAGTCTGCTAGGGGATTTCATCACGGGGGAGAGAGGTGCAAGAGAAGCAGCGCCGACTTCTGCAACATCTCATCAGTGCTGTCAGAAGGGAGCACTAGGGGCAATTCCAACCATGTCGTTCCACCTACTGCTGAAAGTGCGCATAAAAGCTGTTAGAACCGCTCTTCACCGTTTTTGAAACGGAGTAGGTGCTGCAACCACTTCTCACCACTCTCGGCAAGAAAGGTCCCGAAAGGTTCACCCGCAATTAAAGGAATCCAATACTGCAAGGAGAACTCTAAGCAGGCAATATGAAAGTTTCAGGCACCTGATCTTCAAACCTTCGCAGGAATTCTGAGAGGGTACGGTACAATATACACAGGCCCTCTAGAACCAGTTACGACAGTCGGTGGTATTTTTAGCATTGTATAATGCAATTTCACCTCCAAAAAGAAATCATACTTTTTGTAAGGAAGTAGGAATTCCTTACTGAGGCTTGCTACAAGGCGTACGACTCGAACAGTCCCGAACCAGCGATATGGTTCCAGACCTTTCAGTTCGAGCCTCCTGGGCCTTTCCGGACCTCGCTTCGACACATCGAGGCCCTTCGACACTTTCCCGAACCTTCCAATCCTACGTCCAGGATCATCCTAGGCTTTCTATATATTGTATTCTTTTTCATTTTATTGTCATTCACTCGTTCACAGTTTCGCCATTGCGCTCCGCGCTACTCGGCAGTCCCATTCATAACACGTTCTGTAGCAAGTAACTGTAACGAGCGTTCTTCAAAATGGGGATATTTTGGCCACACTGGGTTGAGGAGAATGCCTTGCGACGCGAAGGGATCAGCGCAACCAATCATATTCCTTCCTCGATTTAAGCGACGTAGACCTAAGTGGCCGACTCTTCGTGCGAGACCGCGCGTTCCCAAGGCAGATTCACCGCCAGCCGCCAATTTGTAGCTGACGACATTTGGCAGCCGGACTGCCGTCTTGAGGACGTCCGACGGCCTATGGGTCAGTCCCTCCGACCACTGACAGTGTCCAGTGCACTAGGTACAATATGCTACTTTCTGTTTTACCTCGTTTCTGCATGGTTTGCACGGATGTGGCTCGGTTCAGGAAGCATATCAAGGAATTCTCCCCTCCCCAGGCAGTCCCTAATGGTGTGTCCAGCCCCTACGCTTACTATACACGGATCACGGTTCAGTAGGTTGCATCACGGTCGGGAGCGGTTTTTGCGCGTCACCACGCTGGACCACTGAGCACCACATTGAACCGTATAAATTGAGTTGAACGCCCTAAGAATCTGGAATGCTTCGAAAATTGTTCCTTGCCGTAATATTCTGTGCGTGTGTTTCAGACATGTTTTCCCTCGATAACCTTCCCAACCGTTTTAGCTATTGATCAGACCACGCTAAAGGCCGCAGAATTTCACTAAACCGCGATAGAACATACACTTAGGTTTGGATCACGCCTTGGGAGTTCCTTCTTCCTGCTAGCTGTGCTGTCATCCGCCTTGCTCAACACAACCGTTCTTTTTGCTGTCTCTCCCCTCCTATAAGTGACACCAGAGGTCTCGCCTCACCACTCCCTAGTTGGTACAACGTACCAGCATTAGCTAGTCGCTGGCTTCTCGTCGCTCCTTAGGTGCTTCTTATCTTAGTAGCTGGCTTCTCTATTGGTTCCGAAGCATGAGGTGCTTGTAGTCGCATCGGCACGGTTTCGCCTCTCTAAAATAAAATCTCGCGCTGCATCATATGCTTGACAATAGCACCAGTCACCAAGGGTTCTAGCCTCTGAAACAGCCTTTGAAAGCTTTACAATCTTAGTACTTGCTCTCCCATCGCTTTTTCCTATCGTGTTTTAGAGCGATTCTTCAACGAGCCACGTGTCATTTTCCGAAGAGCCTTTTTCCGTCTACAGCCACGTGTCATTCCCTGACAAGCCATGGACGATGAATCTAGAAGCGTCGGCTCCACTGAGAGCTCGGGGTCTGTCGTCAGCCACGTCAGCAGCAGAAAGGGAGGCATCGTTATGAGGAATCGTCTAAAGGGAAAGGTAGGCTACTTGTCAAGAAATTCTAAGAGCAGCATAATTGAGATAACAGAGCAGATATAGTCAGAAAAAAGAGCAACAATAGATGAGATAGAAGACTAACAATTATGATTTTTCTTTCGTCTAACACTGCCTTTGCTTCTACTCTCACGGTTAGGCCTCGTTGTTTTTCCTCTCGCGTGTTGTGATCGCTTGCTCAATTGCACGTTTCTCCCGATCGCTATAGACTCCCTCCGTTCTCGTATTTCGCTGACGTTCTTCCTGTTTTCCGAGATCTTCGGCGAAAGTCCTAAGCATCGAATTGTACAGCTTCTTGCCTTGCTCTATTTGTCTCTATTTCTCGATTTCTCTATGTCTCCATTTCTCCATTTCTCGATTTCTCGATTTCTCTATTTCTCTGTTTCTCTGTTTCTCTATTTCTCAGCTTCCGTAGCAGATATTCGTTCAGTGCGTGTGTTTGGATATGTGTTTCTCCTCCATTCCCTCCACCTTCCTTCAAATCAGCCAGAGATTGGAACGACATCTGCTTGACAACCCGCCTGGTTAATCGACCTCTGCTTTATTGTCTCCATCTCTCCCCCACTCTCCCCCCACACCCCCTCCCCACCCAAGTCTCCCGCCTCCTCTTCTCCTTCCCCCCCATTCCCTTCTTCCTCCGCTGCCAAAAATCCGTCGCTAGCGTGGCCTTTGGTGACTGGGCAAACAGACCCGCCCCCGCTCCCGCTCTGTTCTGTTCTGTACTCAACTCAATAGCTGCCCCTACTCTCCCTCCCCATTCCTGCCGCTGTCAGAATTCCGTCTCTAGCATAACCCTCCCGACCTTCGTCGTCTGGGCAAACAGACCCTCCTCCCGTCCCGCTCTGTTCTGTTCTCTACTCAGCTCAATAGCCGTTCCTACTCTCCCTCCCCATTCCTGCCGCTGCCAAAATTCCGCTGCTAGCGTGGCCCTCCCTACCTTCGGCGACTGGGCAAACAGACCCTCCCCCGCTGCTCCTCTGTTTTCTTCATTCACTCAGAAACTCTTGAGTCGACTCAAAAGGTGACTTTTGAGTCGACTCAAAAGGAACTCTTCCTACTTTCCCTCCCTTCTCCCGCCGCTGCCAGAATTCGGCCGCTAGCGTGGCCCTCCCGACCTTCGGCGACTGGGCCAGCAAGCCCTCCCCCTCCTCCGCTCCAGGACAACCCCGTGCCGGCGTACCAAACGGGAGGGCTTGTAACGGGGATGAAGATGAAGGCTACACGGAGGTGTTCAGAAAGAAGGGCGATGGGCGAGCAGCAGGCGGGTCTGCCTATCCCTGCAACAACCTCGGTCCCCAGTACTCAGGGGTTAGCCAGCAGCCGTCAGGGGTTGAATCAGTCGCGTCAGGATACCAGCAGTACGGCCTCGGTCTCCAGTACTCAGGGGTTAGCCAGCAGCCGTCAGAGGCTGAATCGGTTGGTTTGGGAAGCCGGCAGTACGGCCTTGGTGATCAGTTGTCAGGGGTTAGTCGGCAGTCGTCGGGGGTAGAATCTGTCCAATCGGGAAGGGGGTGGTCACGTGCGGTGCATCAGTATGGTCAGAAGCCCCAGTATTCAGGGGTCAGCCAGCAGACATCAGGGGTGGGCAGGCAAGCATCAAGGATTAGCCGGCAATCGTCTGGTGACAGCCTGCGGTCGGCAGGGTCTAGCCAGCAGCCGTCTGCTGCTGAATCGCGGAGGGGAGGGGTATCTGCGGGGCCGCATTACGGTGTGGGGCTCCAGATCCCAGGGATTAGCAGGCAATCGTCTGGTGATAGCCTGCTGTCGTCAGGGGCGAGCCAGCACTCGTCGGGGTTGGCAAGGCGGTTGTCAGGGGAGTCGCTTTCAGGGCTGGATGAAAGGAATCAGCAGCATCAGCTGCAGAAGCAGCAGCCGTCAGGGGTGAGCCAGCAGGCGTATGGGTTGGCTAGGCGATTGTCAGGGGAGTCGCTTCAAGGGCTGGATGAAAAGAATCAGCAGCATCAGCTGCAGCAGCATAATCAGGAGCAACAACAGTCACTGCAGCAGCAATACCAGCAGCAGCAGCAGTACCAACAGCAGCAGCAGCAACAGACGTCCAGCTATCTATGTCACCAGTCGCAGGCGCAGCAGCAGGAGCACTGGCAGCAGCAGCTGCAGCAACAACAGCAGCAGCAACAGCAACAGACCTATCAGCAGCACATTCAGCAGCAAAAGCTGATGAAATATCAAATGGGCCAAGGAATGGGAGGAGAAATGGGAGGGGGGATGGGAGGGGGAATGGGAGGGGGAATGGGAGGCGGACTAGCAACCATCCATAGCAATGACAGCAACTATGATGATGACCATGATGGCTCGAGCAGCAACATTGGTGGCAGCATTATCAATAACACTGTTACAAATGTTCCTGTTCCCAGTGATATGGTTACCAGTCGCATGGCTGCATACGTTACAACTCCAAGTGCGCACTTAGCGAAACCAGCAGGAGTAGCAGCAGGGATGGTGGGAGCGGCAGTCCCATCAGCAGCAGCGCCAGCAGCACCTGTAGCAACAGCAGCACCACCACTAGCACCAGCAGCAGCAGCAGCAGCACCACCACAACCACCACTAGCAGCAGCCGGAGTGGCACCACCACCAGCAGCACCAGCACCAGCAGCACCAGCAGCACCAGCAGCAGCAGCAGCAGCAGCAGCAGCAGGGATGCCGTCGGTGCAGGAGCTTCAGCTGCTGCAGCTGCGACTGCTGGAAGACCTGCAGAGGGTGCAGCTCGCCTTGGGGAGCCAAAACGTACTCCCTCTCGCTACCACAACGCCTGATACTGCTTCTGCTGCTGCTGTAACCGCAGCAGTTCCGGCTGCTGCTGCTGCTGCTGCACTCACAGCACCGCTGCCTATTGCTGCTGCTCCCCTGCCTGCTGCTGCTCCTGCCCCCGCCCCTGCTCCTGCAGCTGTGTCCGGTGCTGCCGCTAGGGAGCAAGGGGGGTGGACCAAAGAGGAGGAAGTTGAGAGACGAGAGGGGCACGAGGAGGGTGGGAAGCAGGGGGAAAGGGAGCAGGAAGGGGCGGAGGCGGAGGAGGAAGATGAGAGGCGGGAGGGGGGCGTGGAGGGCACGAAGGAGGGGAGAAGGCAGCAGGAAGCGGAGGAGGCGGAGGAGGCGGCGGAGGAGGAAGAAGAGGAGGAAGCATTGATGATGGAGCAGTGGAAAGCCCAGGTGATGATGATGAATGCTTCTATGAGCGATGCGGAGGGAGGGGAGCAGGAGGAGAATCTGGCACCAGCTGCACCAGCAGCACCAGCAGCACCAGGAGCACCACATGCAGCTTTGCAGTGTTTTGAGGCACCTGATAATTCACCTGATGCACCAATGGGGGCTCGTTTCAACTACTATGAGGCACCTGATAATGCACCTGGTGCAGCAATGGGGGTTGGCTTCAGGTACTATGAGGCACGTGAAAGAGAGCCTGCTGCTGCTATGGTTGGTGCGTCTGGTGGGCTGGACAGTGAGTTTTCATCAGCAGCAGCACAAGCAGCAGGTGCAATGGAGGCGTCAGCAGCAGAGGATCTAGAGGCAGCTCTAGCTGGCGCTGCAGCTGCAGCAGCAGGCGGTGCAGGTTTAGGGTACCCAGAGGCACGTGAAAGCGAGCCAGCTGCTGCTCTGGTTGGTGCGTCTGGTAGGGTAAACAGCAAGTTTAGATCAGCAGCAGCCGAAGCAGCAGGTGCAATGGAGGCGTCTGCAGCACAGGCGCTTGAGGCAGCATTGGCAGAGGTTGTATCTGCAGCAACAGCATATTCTGATGCATCTGCCTCTCCAGCTGCTGCTGCTGCTGCTGCTTATGCTAATGCTGCTGCTGCTGCTAATGCTGCTGTTGCTAATGCTGCTGCTGCTAACACTGCTAACACTGGTAGCGGTGGTTCGGCGCATGCCAAGCCCAACAGGTTCGGAAAATTAGCTTTTATGAGAACAGGTTCGGTACCGGCAGGCTTCCGAAGCTTGTCCCATGGGGGACCCAAATCACCGTTCCGAAGCCTGGTAAGAGCAGGTTCGGGAAACGTAGCTGCAGGTCAATCTGGTTCGGGAAGCCCAGCTGGACCAGGTCCAGGTAGAATCCCCAAGCCTGCCATGCCGAACCTAAACCCGGGGCTGAACCTCAGCCCGAACTTGACCCCGGCCCTCAAGCAAACGGAGAATTTGGACGCTAGTGAGAATCCGCACTTAGGCTTGGGCCTATGGGATGTAGAGGAGGGGGAGGGAGGAGGATTCACTGACGTGTTTGAGAGGAAAATGCTGGCTCGAAAATCCAAGCCTGGCCATAAGTTTGGGGGGCAGGGTTGGATCGATGAAAGGCAGAGTGCTTACAATGAGATGGGCGTTGGTGAGAGTGCTCATAACGAGAATGCTTATGCTGAGAGATTTAATGGTGAGCGGCAAAGCTTCGGGTTTAGTGAAAGTGAGGGACGAGGGAGGGGGCGAGGAGGAGGAGGAGAGGTTGAGAGGGAGGAGGAACAGGAGGAGGGAAATGAGGAGGAGGGGGGAGGATTCACGGAAGTGTTTAGGCTGAAGATGCTGGCTCGAAAAGCCAGGCCTGCTCTTGGTGTTGGGAGACAGGGAGGAATTGATGGGAGAAGCAGTGCTTATGATGAGAGGTCTTTTAGCGAGAGTTCGTATGGCGAGAGTGGTTGTAATGAGTACGCATATGCTGGGAGTGTGTGTGGTGGGAGACAGAGCTTTACTTGTAGTGAAGAACAGGGACGAGGGATTGACCCACAGGACGGATCAGGGGAGCCTGAGAGGGGGACAGCGAACGTACATTCTGGTGCTAGGTTGGGTACTACCGGTGGGGGTTGTGATCCTGGGGTTATTTTGAATGCTGATGGCGTTGGGGGTGGTGATTCCGGTGCAGTGTCAGCATACAGCACCAGCAGCATCACCAATGAGAGCAGCATCAGCGATACCATCAACAACAACGTGGCATACCACGCTGATGCTGCTGCTGCTGGTGATTCCGGCGCTTGTGCTCGGGGTGCCGGGACTTCACGATCCACTGCCTCTTCTGCGTCAGCCACCCCTCCTGCTGCTGCAGGTGCCTCTGCTCCCAGTTTTCCCCCTGCTACTCCCACACCTGCTGCTGCCTCTTTCGGGCCTCCTGGGCTTGCCTTCGGCCCTCCACCTCTTCCTGGTGCTGGTGCCCCCAGTGCTCCTCCTCTCGGCTCTGACTCTCGTGGTGCTCCTTCCGCGTTTGCTGGCCCTCCTGCGTTTGGCGCCCTCCCTTCTTTCGGCACTGCCTCGCTGCTTGGTGGTCCGCCTGCTCTTGGTCCCGGGTTCGGTGGGGGTGCTGGGTTTGGTGCCCCCCCTGCTTTAGGTGCTGCTGCTGGTTTCGGTGCTGGTTTTGGCCCCAGTTTTGGGGCTGGTTTTGGCGCTGGTATTGGCCCTCCTGCACTTGGTTCCAATCCCTTTGCCTCGGCTGCTGCAAACATCGCTGCCGTGGCTTCTGGTCTACCCCCTCCCAGACATGCCCCCCCTCCTGCTTCTCACCTTGCTGCCCTCCCTCCCGCCTCTCCTACTGATGCCGCTGCTGATGCTGCAGCTGCCGCTGCTGCAGCAGCCGCTCTTGCTGGTGGCAAACCCGGTGGCAGGGGTTGCCCTGCTAATGCCAAAGGTGGTGCTGCTGCGAACGGTGGGGGATTTGGTGAGAATGGTCGGGCACATGGCGGGAATGGTGCAGAAGGGGTGAATTGGGGGGGGCAGGCTGGACCTGGGGGGGGTCGTGCTGGGGGAGGGAAGGCCAGCGCAGCAGAGAGGATAATTGGAGCAGCAAAACGGCTGGGAGGGAGAGCAGGGGACATAGCGGCAGGAGGAGGAGGAGGGGGAGGAACGGCGGCAGGGGCCTATGGAAAAGAGAAGGTATGAATTTCTATGCCGTCTTGAAGGGAGTCTACATTCTTTCAGTGTTTTTTTAGTCGACTAAAAAATCACCTATGGAAAAGAGAAGGTATGAAATTCTATGTCGTCTTGAAGGGAGTCTACATTCTTTCAAGTGTTGGTGCACTTGACTCTGTGTGCCGCTGTATAGACGTCCCAGGACGTATAAATTGACAAGGTGCCACTTAATATGCTCTCTTGGTTCTGCCCTGTGTGTGCTTGTGCCCCGTTTTTCCACGCAGAACACTTCTGGCTTTATGAACAAGCTATGGAAGAGATAGCACCTACAGATAGTTGACTCCATATACGGCGCTATTTGCTGACGTCATTCTACGAATGCTAGGTACAGCTCAACAATATCTATTGGAACTACTTACAGAAATGCTGAAGTACAATTTTATCACAACAAATTTGACAGTGGGTCACATCCAAATCCTGCCTCACGGCAGGAGAGCTCCAGCTGTGGGCAACAAGCGTCTGAGACATCCTTCCCTCACAAGCAGAGTATGGAGAATGACGTGACACCTGAAATCAGACTTGTCTAACATGGCAACTGAAATCAGACACGTCAAACATGGCAACTGAAATCAGACCTGTCCACACCACACATCATCAGAGCAAGGAGTGGGAGAGGGGGTGAGGTCGAAGGCGACAAGGTAGTGAGAATAGGTAGCTGAAGGAGAACGTGTAGGTGTAGGGAATGCCGATCACAACATGCATTAAACACAAGGCCATAGCTAACATATGGTGACCCCAACAGCTGGCATCTGGGATTAAGCACCCAGCAGTGAGAGGAAAGAATATTTCAACAGCAGGTTCACGAGCAAGTACACCAGCAGCACGCACAAGAGCCATGCCCCAGCAGCACGCACAAGAGCCATGCCCCAGCAGCACGCACAAGAGCCATGCCCCAGCAGCCAAGCACAAGAGCCATGCCCCAGCAGCCAAGCACAAGAGCCATATCCCAGCAGCAAGCACAAGAGCCATATCCCAGCAGCAAGCACAAGAGCCATGCCCCAGCAGTAAGCACAAGAGCCATATCCCAGCAGCAAGCACAAGAGCCATGTCCCAGCAGCAAGCACAAGAGCCATATCCCAGCAGCAAGCACAAGAGCCATGTCCCAGCAGCAAGCACAAGAGCCATATCCCAGCAGCAAGCACAAGAGCCATGCCCCAGTAGCAAGCACAACAGCCATGTCCCAGCAACAAGCACAAGAGCCATATCTTAATATCCTTGTACAGCTAGTAGTTTAGCAAAAGCACCACTACGCCAGTCTACAAATTCAGTTAAGTCATCTATCTAGTCTAGACTTTACAAGATTCCACGCCACTAGCTACCCTTAACTAAAATTCTGGGCCATCCATGTTGACATCGTCCTCTGCCTCATCATCGGACAGAAACGGGTTGTCTTCCACTTCAGGAGGAGCCTCTCCCCCCTCTACCCCCTCCTCTCCCTCATCCTCTGCCCAATCCCCCATGTAGTCGAGGACTGCCTCCTCCTCCACCCACTGTATTTTCCAAACTGGATCTGTGGTCCGGATTCTGGCAGATACGAATGGAAGACAATTCCATACACAAAACTGCCTTCCGAACTCGGTACGGGTCGTACGAGTATCTGGTAATGCCATTCGGACTCTTCAACGCATTCGCAACGTTCCACGCCGAAATGAACCACATTCTACGACCATTCTTGGACGAATGCGTGGCGGTGTACTTGGATGACATACTCATCTACTCGCGCGACATGAAGCAGCACGTCAAACACCTGCGACGCGTCTTGAAATTCTTCGACGATAACAATTCTACGTCAAATTGTCCAAGAGTGAATTCGCCATCGAGAAAGTCCAATTCCTAGGACATATGGTGAGCGCTCAAGGAGTTCACGTCGACCCCAAGAAGATCGAAGCCGTACGCACGTGGAAGACACCCGAGAACGTGAAGGAGTTGCAGCAGTTCCTAGGCTTCGCTAACTATTACAACAGGTTCGTGCCATAGTACGCGAAATTTGCAACACCACTCACGAATCTGCTGAAGAAGAACACGCCCTACAAGTGGGAACCGAAGCCCCAGGAAGCCGTGGAGCAGCTGAAAAAATCACTCACGTCCGCACCCGTACTCATCTTGCCAGATCCCGAACGCGACTACGTCTTCGAAGCTGACGCGAGTGACCAGGCAGTGGGAGCATTCTTGATGCAAGACCAGGGGAATGGACTGCAACCAATCGCCTACCTCGGCAAGAAACTACACGGGGCAGAACTAAACTACCCGATACATGACAAAAAGGCCCTTGCTATCATCATCGCATTCAAAACGTGGAGATGTTATCTCGAAGGACGAAAAACAACCGCCTACACCGACCACTGCAGCCTGAAATATTTGAAGACACAACCAAACCTCTCCAGGCGACAGGTCCAGGGGATTGACTTCCTCGAGACACACTTCCACTATGACATCGTGTACAAGCCCGGCCACAAAAACAAAGCAGATGCCCTTAGCCGGCCTGCACACGTCGCCGCCATCCAGGTCGAAGGGATGAATCCATTACTCAAGGGACTCTACACACACGGGTATACCATCGACCCCGAAATTCCCTTGGCATAAAAGCGACGTCTGCTACAGTGGGACAGTGACATCGCGTACTGGAAGGGATAAAAAAATACCAGTTACTCTTCGAAGAATACCACGATGTCCTATACGCAAGACACTTTGATAGCAACAAGACGCTCGCCGGTATCGCGAAGCACTACTACTGGCCCCACTTGGCAGACGATGTCCAAAATTTCGTCACCTCGTGTGATACATGTCAGCGGATGAAAAGCAGCAAGCAGAAGAAGACGGGACGACTACAGCCTCTTCCTGTCCCAGAACAACCATGGCAAGTGGTTAGCATGGAATTTATCACCGGGTTACTACCCACCACAAGCGGTCATGACGCAATCCTCGTCGTCATCGAAAATTTCTCAAAAATGGGACATTTCATCCCGACACACAGGACAGCATGCACCGAGGAGACAGCACAACTCTTCGTTCGCTACATCATCTCACAACATGGCACTCCAACCACATTCATCTCCGACCAAGACCCCAAGTTTACCAGCAAATTCTAGAAGGAACTAATGCCTCTGCTCGGGACCAAACTCGCCATGTCATCCGCCTACCATCCGCAGACAGACGGACAGACCGAGCGCCTCAACCACATTGTCGAGCAACTCCTCCGCGCAGCCTGCAAGGACGAGATCTCTAAATGGGACTTGAACCTGCCCACTCTAGAGTTTGCTTACAACAATGCTACACATACCGCTACTGGACAGACGCCGTTCTTCCTCTATTACGGACGCCACCCGCTCACGCCACAAAAACCGACAGCATCAGCTACAGTCCAACCTGCACACGACTTCATCACGACCATGCATCAGCTACAATCCAACCTGCACACGACTTCATCACGACCATGCATCAGCTTTGGGATCGGACCCACAAGCGCCTCCTCGATGTTCAGCAGCAACAGAAGCGCCAGGCCGATCGCCATCGCAATGATCATACCATCACCATGGGAGACCAGGTGCTCCTCGACACCCGCAACCTTGACATTAGCCATCTCCCATCAAAACTATGACCTCGCTTCTGCGGGCCTTTCCTCGTTGAGCCACACGTCACTCCTGTTACCTTTCGCTTACGCATACCAGCTACATGGAGGATTCACAACGCCTTCCATGTCCAAATTCTGAAGCCCTATCGGGATCCTAACACGGTCTTCATCGGACGCCAACCACCGCCGCCGCCGCCCGTCCTCGTCCACGATGAACCCAAGTACGAGGTCGAGTCCGTGCTTGCACATCACCGGCGTCGGAATGGTACCGTGGAGCTTCTCATTCATTGGAAGGGTTATGATCCTTCTGAGGATAGATGGGTTCCTGAAACCGACATGGGTAACGCCCGTCGTCCTCTTCATGACTACCTTGTCAAGCAGGGTGTTACTTCTACCACCCAGCTTTGAGGGGGGGAAGTGTGAGAGTACGACCCAGTTATACCATTTTCCTCTTTTCATATTTCCTTTCTATTTCATTCCTTTTTTTATCTCATCTTAATTGGTTTCCTATTCCTCATTTTCCATTATCCTTTGGTTTATCATGCTATTATAATTATATCACCGACCAAGCTTGGGATGTACTGGCGCGCTATATCTAGCGTAATTCTGTCATAATCCCTTAAAGCTAATAGCCTCGCATGGCTATACGCAGGGTGATTCTATTTCTAGAAGGGTCTATTCCCTTCGAATATGATAAACCTGGTTACCTGATGTACTCTTGAAGTATAAAAGCGCCTTGTATCAATCAATAGTACAACTTCTCCTCGACACATTCGATCCTGTGACACCTCCCCCTCCGTCCTGCTCCGTCTAATGTGTCTCATGTCACTCCCCTCCCGTCGGTTGTCCCGGTCGAGGAGCAGGCTGACTCTAGTGGTCCCGCAGCGCCGTTCTCGCCTGTCTCTCCCCGGTGTCTCCTCCTCCGCCGTCGCAGTCGTCGCCGTCGCAGTCGCCGCCGCCGCAGCAGCCACCGCCGCAGCTGCAGCCGCTACCACCGTTGCCGCAGTAGCAGCCGTTCATGGACTCTGGAGGTGCTGGCGTTGAGGAGGGTGCTAAACCTGGGGTTCTTGTCGTGGCTTGTCCCGGCTGGCTCGGGGGTGGCAACGGTGCTGGAGAGGGTTCTTGCTCTAGGGGTGCTTGTTCTGGGGGTGTTGGAGTGGAGTGTTCCGGAGGTAGCCACGGTGCAGCTGGCGGTCCAAGTGTCAGCGTCGAGCAGCAGCAGCAGCAGCAGCAGCAGCAGTCTCCGCCAGTGTCCGCCCTTCGCCTGCTCGGCCTTCCCTCCCCTGACCGCTCGCCTGCGCCTCCCCGCCGCCTCCTCCCTTGCCTGTCCACGGTCTTGTGTTTCCTCTGCCGGACTCGTCCCCGGCCCGTTTCCCACCTCGTTCCCCTACTATTAGTCCTCTATCTCCTGACCCGATGCCTCTGTCTCACGTCTGGTCTCGCCGTCCCTCTCGTGCTCGTCCTTTCTCTCCTGTTCAGCGTTCTCACCCTATGTTGCTTTGTTCCCACGCATCTCGTCCTCCCCTCCTGCCTTCCCCTCCTCCGACGTCGCTTGCTGTCGTGCCTCCCCCTCTGTCTGACTACCATCGTGCTGTTCATCCTCTTGTTCCTTGGGTCCTAGCCTCCCTCCTTACCGGCCCATCTGTTCCTGTCTCGAGTCTTGACGCTCTTATCGCTGCTGTCGCTGGCTTTGCCTCTACCCTCCGCCTTGACCACGCCACCGCTCTGGTCTCTGACCATGTCCGTCCTCTGTCCGTCAGGGGTGCTCCTGCCCTTGACAGTGACGTCCTAGAGGACAAGCAATACGAGCTTGCTTTCCTGTCCGA